CGTCTTCGCGCCATTTCGTTTGTCCCCTATCAGCTGTCTGTCTCGGATGCCTGTTTACAACGTGCTTCTTATCGCGCGCGTTCTCTCGTACGTTCAAACGCGACGTAATCCTCGGAGCTTCTCGGACCACGTTATGAAAGCGCGTACTGTCCTGGGTCAAAAGTGACACACCTGGGGGAGTACTCGACGCGTCTTTGTGCCGTTTCGTGAAACTGAACAAAGGGGAATCGGAGTGTTTTATACATTCTGTTGCATCGATTCCAGCCAGAACGCTCCGCGCTGCATTGTCCTCCAGATATAGATGGGAACGCCGTAAGAATGAATTCTTACGATACATACGATAGATAGAATGGATCTGGTCAAGGCCCTGGTAATACCGCGGTGAATCTTCGTGTATGTAGTTTTTATTTTGATAAAAACGAGGATTTCGATTCGGTTTTCCATCGAGTTAGTACGGGACATTGAAACGGTTCGATTGATGAAAGGAGTGTTTTTATGAATCGACGTCCGATAATCGGTTGTCGAGGAGTTAAAAAATGTCGGGACACAATTTTTGTTAATTGACATCATATAGTATCTTACTAGGATTGTTGGTTTCGGGTTTTTTTTAGACTCGATAGCCGATGAATGTATTATAATTAATATTAATACAGCGAACCCGATGTTTCTGTTCTATCAAGATATCTATTCATCTTTTTCTTTCAATTCCCTAAGCTTCCAGACACTTCTTCTCGTTTTCCTCAATTTATCTTACGTAGGATTAAAATTGTTCACCGATGTGCAATTCGGTTCAAGGTTACTTTATCAAGAATCAAACTGTTTCTATGGTCGATTTACTTTAATAACAATCAAAACCGTTTCGCTGCAAACAAAATTAGTTTCTTCAACTCCATAATACACGGAATATCCAAACTCTTCGTCAAGTGTCTACACACAACCAAACTAAAAAATTCATGTTTGGGAGCATCAACAAGGAAACCTGTTCTTCTCCCAGCCTGTACGCCGTCCCACTTTTGTCATTCCATTTTCTGCCCAAGCGAGTTAATGGTTTAAAGATCAAGGGCGATACACGATGTTGCAACACACACACGCGCACTTCTATCCACGAGATCAACGATGACTCCACGTTCGGACAGGCCGTCATTAATTGATCGCTCGTCTCGTCCATCCCATCGGCCCGTCACGAAACGAAGAGAAAAGGAATTAACGCGTCGACGTTCCAAGGCTCAATACAGAAAATCAATCGGCGGACAATAAACGATAATCGGAGCACGCCTCGGGTGCAGATCGATGCATTCGATTACACGGTCCCGCGGACGTACATCGGATTTAGAAGCGAACGTAAATTATTCGTGACGTCTTCGCCGCGTTGTTTCGTCGCCGTTGGGCACGCCAATCTAAAAATATGATAAGTCGGAAAACCTTTTTTCCTGCTGGGTTCCAGTTCTATCTAGTCGTTAAAGCCTTTCAGCGGAACGACTCTGTGAACGTATATGGAAGGCGGCCGCTATTCGAGAAAAGAAAATGGCTTCCCAAAGCTCTTCGTGGTTTACTAATTTGTTGAAATAACTGGAAATTCCTCCTGTTTATCGTCGTAGAATATGTATATACAACGAAATAGGAGAAATACTTGACAGGATTGTCAAGAAAATAAATATACATTGGGCTGCCCGAAAGGACTGTTTAGACAGGGTAGTGTACAAACTGGAAGGAGGTTATTCAACATGCAAAAACAAATGGAATGTATGAAATAAATTTTTTTCCTATGACGGTTTGTTTTCGAGATAATCGAATTTGAAAGTCTGCTGGATACGCGTGCAATTGAAGAGGACTTGGCTACCGCGTCTGTTCATTACAATCCGTTTCTACTTATTGTCACCACGAATGCACGCATATGTAATGAAACTTCCAAACGGTTTTTTCTCAAAAACGGGGCCTCGTATGAACAAAATTTATTCCTCTTTTTCTGCTTATTTTTTCTTATAGAACCACCTACTGCTCGGTTAATTACTCGATCTGAGACACCGGATTTTTTTTTTTAACTTGTGCATCGAAGAACTTTCGATTATCGTGGACTGTACAGAGACAATGACAAGGGAGTGAATATGACTCATTGTTTTGAATCTTGCAACAAACGATAACGATTGATATCAGTAGAATCGTGAGCTTGTGGGTGAGTAATTAAAAAAGAGAAAAGAATCTCATCGTAATCGACGAGTACAAAGAACTCGACATAACTCGTCTGAAATTTCATTAACCCATGTGCACTGTTCCGATCAATACGAGCTGAAACGATACGTTAATTTTTAATCAAGCTCTTTATTACGGAAATATACATAGCGTTTTGATAATCCGGTTACGTATAAATACATTTCTTTTAATTTGATTTCAACCGCAGCCCAGTTCTCTTGCGAAGAGCGACAATGCAATATTTATTCGCAAAGTGGTAGAGTATTAAATAATTTTTATCCCAACATATACTTCACGGTTGACATTAATCTAGCATGCGAGGGGTCTACGTTTCAGCGACAGATTTAATCGTAAGAAATCGGTGAATTTTCGACCAACTTAAAATAAATAGAAACACTTTTACCTATTACGTGGAATTCCTGGGCGGTTTCATCGTCGAGGAGTTTAACGGTCTGTCGAAGAAAAAAAGAATTCGTGCAAACTCAATTCCCCTCCGCGTATTGTAAAATTTATCTTTACAATGTTTATACAAGGGTTTCGCCGTTGATTGCACGACAGTTCCCATTAATTCCGAGTAAATTGAACTTCCTTCTATCTGTCGTAGAATCCAGTTCCATAATATTTGCAGAGACTCGGTGTATGGTTTCGTCATTGTTACGAAATATTGTTTCTGTATAATTTTAGAGCAGAACGGCAACAAAGAATGTATCTCGAGGGGAATCGAACTCCCATTCGGTTTGTCCCCGTATGGAATACATCGAGAACCGTGCACAGTACTTTATCAACCGAAAACACAAGAATTCGATTATCGATATCGCTCAGATTCATAATCCCAGGAGATTTTAACCACACTTTATTATTTCAAAATTCCACTCTTACATAAAGAAACGATCCAGGAAATAAAAACGATCATGGAATATTTGTTTCTTTAACCCTTTCAGATCAAAAATCTAATTTTATCGCTGAGATCATAGGAAGATTTTTTTTAAATGAATTCGAAAAAATGTTTCAAATCATCCTGTATGTGACTGTAATTATTATGAAAAATGTAGTAATTCGTTTAAGGTAATCAATATTTCGTATGACCTTCATTCCCCTAACGGTAGCAGTTTATTCGAGTATTCCGTCGAGTCTGTTCCCAATAAATTCGTTTAGTACATTCTACCATTCTGCTTGTAGTACTTCAAGGATCCCATTTCTGCCATTAACATTGTTTCCTTTCCAAGCCCATTACGAATAATCCCATGCAAGTTCAATATTGTTGAAGCTGTAACTTCACGATTGTGAAGTCGTAACTGCTGATCTACATTTTCGTTCTCTGTTAACAAGTGATTCAAACAATTTTTCCCTACTCATGATCAGTGTCGTAAGTCAGAGTTGGACAGAATTCGAATAACACATAGTGAAAAGCTGCGATATCTAAGGCCATCATCCTAAGCTTTAAACGGTTAATGAGATAAAATAATCATTTGCCAAATGTCGACTCATCCAATAGGAAATATTATCTCATTATAAAAACTGAAATTTCCTAAGATTTTTGTTATCTTGTATTCGTTATTCAAAACTTTTTATCGAGATAATAAATTTGCCCATCTAAGTCTCTGCTTTAAAATAGAAAAACTGTCGCCGATTCATCTTCATGTTGGCACTTCCAATATTTCCGTTTCAATAGTCCATCAAGTCTTGTAGTTACGAATTGATGGTCAAGACTTTTACACGCTACTCTGTCGGTGGACGTGCTTCTACGGGGTGGCGATAACGACACGTCGTTAAATAGACCCGAAGCGGTGAAGCGAATGTCCCCGCGGTTCGTTCTCAAGATAACGCGGGTTACCGAATGTTAAACGGCCAATCTATCCCACTCGACATAGGGGTCGCGTGTTGATAATTTGGGTCATGCATTTTCGGCGATGCACACGTTTACCGACTTTACATCGACCCGTAGCACGCCTCTTTATCAGCTGGCTCCGGTTCACAAGCCCGCTACGCCGACGTGTGCCCTCCGGTTCGGTGGAGCTTTAATTAACGAATTTCACCGTAGCACCCCCGTGTTAACATCAGCTCGCATACTCCACTATCGCCCGCCTCCCTCCTCCCCGTCGCGAAGTTAAGATTCGTGTTGGTGATCGTTTCTCGAATAATATGAAATTTCTTACCCGACATCCTGACGGATTTAACGGATGACGGTATGAATATATGTATGTACGTAATATTAGATTGTTGCAACCGCGAAGCCAGTAGATTCCTGGCAACAGTTAACGTTAATTCCATTAGTCGGAGCACTTACAAAAGTCTACGTAACTGTGTCGATGTCGTTATGATAAAGAGACACGAACGATTTCGTGTAATCCTCGAAATGAGACATTTTTAACCGACGCAATCGTGTGTGAACGGTAAGAATGTAAAATTTGTGTCTTGTAAAATGTATTATTAGCGTAAGAAAAAGTACGATGTGTGTACCAATGAGTAATTAATTAATTTATTGATAAGGCAGCTGAACGTACTATAAATTGATGTTCTTAAATCGGTAGTTGTGTCAGTTAATTCGCAAACGAATTTGGAGTGTTTCCGGAACTCGTCGCATGAGTGTAAAAAAAAAAGCATCGTTCTAAGCAGATTCTCCACTACCTGAGAGATTATACGAACAGGGAAAAGGTTGCGTTAATGTTACGAGCGTCAGTGTACCGCCGACTTCCGAGGGGAACGCATCGCAGTCGGTCGTTCGGCGAGCATTTCACGGGCCGTGGTGTAATTGTGTTCGAATCGCGATTGTGTTTTTAAATATGTCAGGTGTGCGTTACTACGCTCGTCGCATCGGTGATCTTTGAAACGACACTTGTGGCATTAATTTGAATATTAATAAGGAAACGTTGCGCCAGACAGATCCTCTCCGCTTCTAGTACACCTGTAAGTGGAAGTTGAACCTTAATTAAACTTGTCCATACCTGGTGTAGTAAATGTTATACAGGTTTTTGTTCGAGATTATTAGGTTAACATTGAGACACTTTTCATTTCACTGTGATCATAACTCTGAATTCAGTACTTTATTTCTCAGTCTAATTCGTTTTTTTTTCTTTCTGAAAATGATACTCTGGCTTAGAGTATTATATTCTCGATTAAACAAGATCTCTTTAACCGTTATCGTGACAATCAGTTGCAGCGAAATAAAATTAGTTCATCGAGGCTGTTTCTCATGGAGGTAACAGGATACTCCACAGTTAGAAACTGCACTTTACACATTCATTTTTGCCGTTTATTCACACTGTACTATCGAATGTTGTCTCAGACTCAACCTAATCGAATGTGTATAGAATATATTAACCTGTAAAATTTTTACTTCTAAATTTAGACCCCAGAACCAGAGTGTATTAAGTCCACATTTAAAAAAAGTGACATTTTACATGTTTCCTGTATTATTTCTATTATATTCCACTCTCTCCGATAGTAAAAATTATTTCGTTCTAAGTGGTCTAGTTTGCCATATGATAGTCTAAAAATGATATTAAATTCATATTTTATTTCAAGCCAAACAGTGTGATACAGAGACTTGTCTTAAATCCATTTAATAGTTTGAAAGTAACGATTGTTTCTCGCTCAATTTTTACCGAACGGTTCCATAGTTACAAGGACAGAAATGTGTCGAATAATTATTAAACATTAATAGACTGTAGATGTTCTGCATTCACAGCCTACAAGGCTCTGCAAAATACAATAAGCACAAAACATTTATTATAAAAGAAAAAACTTCAATAATCAAGAGGTGAAAGATATTCCCATATTTGCTCTTACTGTTATAAATTACCTACTCCAAAAAATTGTTATTCTCCCCAGAAATCCACAATCGAAGCATCGAACGTACAGCGAACTTCACGCGTTTGAAAGGTCCCCCGAAACCCGTCGTTGGTTGCACATCTTGCATTCAGGCTCTCTCGTATTTTGTCCCTTTCTCGATCACGTCCCCTCGTGAGCGTGGTTCGCGTGTCCCTCTCGAAATACCAGCATCGGATACCACGAACGGAAGGATACCGTTTTTCCCATTAGTTATTTAAGCGGGCTCTCTCTGTCGAGTGCACCGAACGCACGAAACCCTCGGGCTCGTGTACTCTGTTCGATATCTCTCTCTCCCTTTCCCTCCACCGTTCTCCCAGCCGCGACACAACGATTTCATAATTCAGGTCACGCATATCTCTCGATGTCCGTTATTATACGCGGCTTCGGTATCGACTATTGTTCGAATGACTACTTCCCGAAAGTCGCGCGAACGCTACCAACTGGGGATCGACACTGTTACCGACGTGAATCGATACCTCTTAATTCACCAACACTGTGTCGAGTACTACGCTCTCTGGGATCGTAACGTGACGGTAAGAAAAAAAAGAAACAAGAATAAAAAAAATGTCGAAACGGATTAACTTACCGAAGCGGTTTAACCACAATAACGGTAGACCCACACCGGTGCAATCGAATCGACTGTGATATATAATCTCGTTGTAAAAGTTGTTCGAAGTGTACATATTTTCTTTTCTCTGGAACGTCGAGGTTTACTTTTATTCAGGAGATTCGAGTATTCTGGAAGTATCGTGTTTACACGATATGTGAATTGTAACTGTCAGGGAAGCACAAAGTGATAATTGATAAATGTCTGTTGGATAACTGTTCCAATAATGGTTGTATGGTAAATATTGTTACTTTAATTTCGATTTTATCGGTGTGTTTCATGCACGACAATACGGTCTTGAGAAAATCTGTTATTAGAATACGGATCTTTATTGCGAAATGACATTTTGTAAATTCATGAAGCTAAGAACAGAAATAGAAATTTCTTCCTTCTTTTAAGTGGCTTATTGGAGTTAGAATAAAATAGAAAACTCGTTGCATCTGATGAAAGTTTTGTCTTTTATTGTACTTCACAATGATCTATAAGCTATGAATGCATAAAGTCAGCAGTGTATCTATTATTGCCAGAGTTCTTGTAAAAAGACACATGTACGATAATCGAGGCGTTCATTTTTCAAAACGGTTAACTGCACAAAAGAATAGGTTGAGAAAATCAATAAAATCATGTAATTATGTACCAATCAAATGCTTTAGCACTACAATTTTAAACAATTAAAAAAATAGAGTTTGTTATTATGACCTGTAAACGGCTCAATTGTCGATGGTGCTGACGTTAAATCACGATTCGATTTCGAACGCCAGAGAAGAGATTCTCGAAGGCAACTATTTGTCGAATCGAATTAAAATTTACGACTCTATCCGTGAATCTTACAAGACTCGTTTTCGTGGTGTGTAAAAGAGAGATTTGGATTATTATGAATGAGGGACAGACTTTCACTTAAATAAATATTAATACGATGCTTAGAAAGGTCAACTCTCGCGTGTCCAGGAGGCGCGTCAAGTAACTGAATGTTAAAAGTTTCAATAACACCACTGTAAAGCGTTTCAAAATTATATACATTCGGGCAGATACGATCTGTATTACATATACAGCGTATATTATCAAAAAAGAATCCCTTTTACAGTTTAAAACATCACTAAACATTACCCAAAAATTAGTCATAATTTGTATTCATTTTCTTGTAATTAATTCCGAAAGAAAAGTTACATTTTCACCAAATCTTAAGGAATGTTCTAATTAAATAGTTTTGTCGTGAAATGTAGAATTTTTTCAAATACTGTTATGCTCGGGTCGACTTGCGTCGAGTGCGGACTTGCCTTAAGGAATTTCTCCGCGGGTAATCGATACTCGTTTGATAACGTTTCTCGGGGAAATGTCGGGTGAATGCACCGACCTAACGTTTCCACCAGTTCGCCCGCGGACGGTGTGTGCCAACTTGTGCTTCCTTCGCGCGATCATTTGGCATCCCGCGTTGGATCCCGTCGAATCTTAAGCTGTTCGAGGCTGAGATCTCCTATCGACGATTTGGGTCGCGGACTCGTCGCCATTATTTCTGCCGCGTTAATACGGCCTCGTTCTTGGATGCATATCCTTCAGAATCCATGCCCGTTGGTTCATCTGTTCGGAATCTTGTTGCCATTAATCACCACGGAATGGAACAAGCAGACTCGAATAATTTAGAAGTAGAGGAGAGTGGCTAAGTTTTGGTCAGTTTTCAATTAATTTGTAGTAGTGATTAAAATGAAAGAGATACACACTTTAAATCTGAAGAATTATAATCAGTATAGTCTTACCATGGATGTTCCTTTATGATGTAATTTTATTATTACAATGGAATCTGTACAAATATAATAGTTCCAAAACTAGATATTTGACCCATACCTCGAGGGAGGTTTGGGTCAGATAGTGGGAATAAATGGGTCATTGAATTTTTGTATTGCTTGTGCAATAAATATAGAAAAGTATAATGTGTACTAGATGTATTTTTCGAATTGTGAGGTCACATGTTTTAAATGGAAAGTTATATTCTCGATTTTGAGTTGAGTAAGAATGGTGTAATACGCAGGAACATTTTTACGGTTATAAATTAAACGACGTAAATCCTTGACTTCTATAGAAACAATTATACCGATTTCGTGAAGAAATAACAGGTCACTTATCTGTTCACCTATTAACTGATGATGCGTTTTCGAATTTCGAAAAAATCTTCCATAATGTTAATCATCATTATATAATTTCTCTGCTTGTGATTTCCTGCACATTATGTTAGTCGATCGAATAATTAATTCACTTCTGAACGCGACCAGAATTCGGGTTAATAAAATGTTGACCGACGGTAACAATGGTTAAATTGAATTCCCCTCGTAATTATCTGTCGGGTGGGAAATATGTATATTATTTAAAGCATTTCAATGTTTAATATGCTTAAAAAGCAATGAAATTACATAAATGTGAAAACTCTGTTAATATCGTTAACGATAATTCTTATACTTTAGCGGAATATTGACTAGAATATTTTTTTAGAATATTTCATTTCCACGGTGAATCCGTCGAAACACAATTCGTTTCACGAGCGTTTCTCGCGCGAGCATGAAAAGGAAAAGCGTTACATGGGATTCAAAAAGAAGAGGGGGAAATAAAAGCGGGGAAAGGGCGCAGAAAAAAACCATGTTTCTTTCGCCTGTAATACGTAATACTTTCCACTGGTGGCGTATTACGCGCACACGACACTGTTTACGAGAATCAGTCCCGTTTAATGCTCGTCAAATACATTATCAATATTATTAACATTTCTTCTCTCTCTCTTTTTTATATTCTTCTTGTAATAGAGCGACGATAAAACGTCGTGAAACTGGACTTAGTTCTCTCGATGTTTTCTCTTCTGTACCTCTACAATTGTACTGCATCGAAGTCCATATTTGTTTGTAATATCCTTGACGGATCACAAATGCCAAGAACTCGTCGAGTGTCAGTGACTCAACAAAGCGCAGGCACTCAGAATTCTCGGTGGGAGCACAGAATATCGAAGTTCAAATATATGAAATATCAACATCACTGACAATATTGCTACAACATCCGTGATTGTTCGTGAGTCGTCTTTATTTATAATGTGAACTAAATAAGACTATACAACGACGAAACAATAAATTGGGAATAAAAATTATAATAACTTGTTCTCGCACGATCCTTCTCAACTCGAACTTCCGGGGACGTGTCCTCTGTTGACCACAGGTTCCGGAGCTTGTATTAAATCGATAACTTCGATGTTGGGCAGAGATGCACCATCTTCTCGATTCCTGTGTGACCGGAGCAGGCCTTGACTTTCTACTCGGTGTTCGTACAGTGCTCGTGACAATATTAATATTTCTTACTTAACCCAATGACGAGCCTAAACGTACCAATACGACACATTCATTTTTCCGTCAGTTCCATAGGTTCCTCACGAAAAATAATATGTAATTTAAATTCATCGGGTTAATATTTCTCGTTATTCCATTCAGAAATAATC